CGTAGTACTAATATATAATAATAATATATATATAATAATATATATATATATATATATATATATATGTCGTTTTAGGGTTTTAGGTTGTGTGTGTGTGTGTGTGTGTGTGTGTTTGTGTTCGTGTTTGTGTGTGTGTGTGTGTGTTATTTATTCATTTAATTTACTCATGTCTGCCAATAGATTGGTACACCGTACATATCTATCTATTACACCAGAAGTTGGAGAATATACGTGCACATATTCGGTGCATATGCATTTGGTTGTAGGTAGACGAATTAAATATACGATTGATTCTACTTATGGGAAGCAATGGTTAAAAGCAACCTATCTTTGATCATTACGATCATTAATACTTACAATATGTATTGCACGTTTACATACTCACCTTTCCCACTTCATTGACTTTTCCAAAGGAATTCGCAATAAGTGTAATTCCAGTGTCATCGTTGCCCATATATAAAATATTACGGTGCTGGTAGATACCACCCACTTGTGTAAGGGCTCCCATGTGTGTAGACATCTCGTTTACTTTGCTGAATATGGGACCGTCCAAAAGTGTATTGAATCCATCTTCGCCCTGCAATATAGAAGTTGAACAGCCAATTACTTCACTATAATAGCATGCGATGTTTATTGAACGGGGCGTACCAGCATTGTAGGTAAGATAAAAGGACAAAGGACAAATCAGTTGATTACCACACAAAAATCAGCAAATAACGTCTGAAAAATGGTACCGATCAGGCAGCCGTGGACGTTCGCTTATACGATCAGAATACATGGCAAGTTTATTTGCCCTCAGGATAGTCTCAGATAAGTACGCCCTCAAAAAATAGAATCTACTATTTTTTCCCATCTTCTACAATATTTATTAATCGTTGTCCAATTTCATAGACGCCTTTCAACATATCACCTTCCTTGTTACACTTATACTTACAAGTACACAGTAACAGCCATAATATACAAATAGACACTATATCTTGAACAACCAGGCTTCAACGTTGAAGTAAGAACATACCTCACCGCATTCCCCACACATGCAAACGCGCGCATCGTACGCTAGCATTTCTGTGAAACTTGAGAGGTCGGTCTCCTTCCCGATTTTCTCGAAAACTGCGTTGAAGTCTTGTGCGACAGTTGCCAGAGCGTCTTGTGTGAGAACATCGGCTAGAGCCGGTACTATACTTAAGCCACAAGCCCCGAGGAGTGTATATAATTGAACCATATTTATAAAACGTTGTGTGTGGTGTTTGATGTGTACGAGAATGATTTTAACTTGTTCACTTCCCTGCTATTTATTCAGAACAGGTTCCAGCTTAAGAGAAGTCCACACCCTGCAATTGTTGTGTTATTCATCATATTTTTATATTTTTGTCCGAGTACTTTATTTATTTTATTTTAGATTTGAATATGTACAATGTTGGACAAAAGCGGAAAAGCTGCTTTGGCATTTTTGCCGATAAGAGCACTCCCAGCTGGAGGCGAGTCAGGCGACGCCCGGACTCTGGAGCCAACTCTGTCTTTATAGCTATTACGGCTATTCATTTGTCAATTTTCTCCTGCATCCAATCAATATTTTGTTTCAGCAAGACTTAATTTCGCAACATATTCAAGTCTTTTTAAAATTTTAAAGTGAACCAACCATTTTCTGTTTAATTTTAAGTACAGTTCAAATAGTTTTAAAATAAATTTCGAACACTTTGCCCTTCATTGGTGCTTGTCTTTTTAAAAAATCATTTCTGATTTCACTGTATGTACATCTGTAAAATTCAAAAATAAACAAAATTAGGTATTTACATGTAAAGGGACAGTGGACTATTCTCGTCTCTCCATATTCTCGCGTGAGGCACAAATATCAACTGCATTCCTGCAGTGACTTTATTTTTTAAACAATAACTCGATCGAGTTCTTCGATTTATACGGCTGAACCATTTGTAGCGCACATGAATGTAGCATACCCTATACCGGTGCTCTTCTTGCAATCGAGCAGTCCGCAGGAGATATACGATAGGCTATTTACACCAACTGTCAAGTGTCTGTTAAATCGAGACGTAGTGCATGATTATCAATACATGAATATTTTGCTCTATAAACTTGTTTGATTTGGAAGTAGTTTGTGGTCTTGGGATTATGGTTTTACAAATCAAACAAACCAACCGAATGGCTAGGTTCCTACTAGGCCTGCCTTGATTACTGAAGTGGCGTTGTATTTTTATCCAGCCCTATATAGTAGATATGATCGAGCAAGTACCACAGGCAATTTGGCACATATTCGATTGACGGATGCTTTGACAACCGTTTTGGATAAACCATCGCCCCCGACCAGGCCTTTGCGAACTGGCATGTTGTCGACAAAACAACCATATAGCATTACCATTAATCTTGTGCGGTATGCTTTAAAATATGTCTCGTACCTAATCTATCTGCTCTATCAGTACCATTCAGGCAGCGCATAGGAGCAAGCTATTTACATCGACTACCTCTATATGTATTTAATCGACTGATCGTCGTCACGTCGTGTTTACTAATAAACCATCCGAACCCTAGAGACGAGAGTAGTAGAAATAGGAATGTGAAACCCTATAATTTTTTATCATGTGCACAGATGGTCAGTTCAATACGCCGAGAATATTTTTCACCTATTTACCAAAATACGTTTCTATTTCAGAAGGCTACGAAATACACTGTTATTTACACAACTCTCAACTGAATGTGGTGATGCGTACGGGTGCGATGAGGACATTCCACCATCATGTGTGTCGACTGTAGCTGATCAAACCTATCATGATGAGAGTATTCTTTAAAATAAAAATGATTGTTCAATCTTCGCGGAAGTTGTTGTTGCGCAACAAGCACAAGACAACAGTTGCCGTCTTTAGACATTTTCGCGATGCGAGAACGGGCCAATACATATATAAAATACTCATCGCAGCGGCATGTTTCCTGGTGGTGTGCTCTACTTTAAATCCAGACATCTTAACAACGTTGGGGTACTATCCTACGTATATAAACACGGGCGATGCACCCACACTCAAACCCGAGTCTACTCAGAAATGGGTTGAATCATGTCGAAAGTTGGTCTTAAATGCAGACCGTGCGTGCCTCAATCAGCATGGCTTCTGGGACCACTACACAGTGCTAGAAGCTGGCGAAGATGTCTCCATAACTGCCCGTAACGCTGCCTGTCGAGCGGCTGCGACTATCTTCAAACATCAGATGTGTGACCTGGACTGCAGTAAGGGCTGGTATTTTTCAGTTTTAAACACGGGGACGGGGACAGGCTCGAGGTGGCATACCTATACAAGAGGTATACTACGAGCATTGGAGACAGATCAGTTCATCAGACTGTGGGAGGGTGCGGGACCATTCCACTTCTTCACCACAGACACTTGCCCTGAAGGTAGTGAAGGCTGCTACTTCTCCCGAAGTGATCGGTGTATCACGTATGATAGCAAAGATAATATTAATAACACGCACACAGATATTTCCACGCAGCAAGTAACTTGGAACTACCAACCACCACAGAGTGTATCTAAAAGATCTCTCACTAAGGAATTGGGTCAGTCGTATATGTGGTTAACTTCACAGGTCATGTTTTTCTTACTACAACCCTTGCCCTTTGTGAGTTCATGGGTAGACGAGTTCTGGCGAGGCGATTCCCAGTGGCGTCTATCGACTGGAAAAATCAGCCGGCACGAGCCGTATATCACAATGCACGTGAGATGGGGTGATAAGTGCGGATGGGGAAAGGAACAGGGTAAGGAGGCCCAATGTGTTCCTTTTGCCAAGTATATGCAGGCCGCAGAGAACTTGCGAGAACGTAATCCCGACCTGAAACACATTATACTGTCGACTGAGGATAGTAGGGCGCTGGAAACCCTCGGTGACTACACACATCGGTGGATATTCAGCTACACAAAGACCGACCGCAAAGGTGCTGAGCTTCAGAGCATGATGCGTAGTGGAAATGCCACAGATTTTCAGGCCCACGAGGTAAAGAACTCGCTGATCAACTTCTACCTGAGTGCGTATGCACATGCGGCTGTATATACAGCTTCGAGTAACTGGAGTCGAGCTTTCCTCAGGTTTAGTAGAGCCCTGAGAGGTCGGATTATTGACAGTGTGAGTATGGATGATTGGGACAAGGATCTTGTACTAGAAGGAATACCGAGTCGATTATTGGCGGAAATCAATGGGCGCCTTGGACCCGAAGGGGAAAGGTATTGCTTCGACACCAGAGAGAAATGTCCTCCTGATCTTATCGAAGCACTTAGATAGGTCGTCTATGTCTATTCATTAACATTTCTGTATATCCCTTTTTATCGGTATATACATATTAAAATCATCGTGGGATACATTTCTATTCCATGAATCAAGACGGTGGTTTTTTTTTCTCATGCCTCGATCTTTATAGAGGTCGCACTTTAGCAACCTGTCCATATTGTTTGTGTCAACAAACAATTTGGACGTAGATGAGCAACTTTCACACGAGACTTTGTACGCAACATATCGCACGAAATACAGCTGAGTGCGACCTATATATATGTGTGTATATATATATATATATATATATATATATATATATATATATATCTATATTTATATCTATATCTATATCTACACATATATATATCTATATCTATATACATTTATATATATGTGTGTGTGTGTGTGTGTGTGTGTGCGTGTATGTGTGTGTGTGTGTGTGTGTATATATATGTGTGTGTGTGTGTGTGTGTGTGTGTATTATATATTTTACGTACAATTTTGTTCATGTTTAATTATCGTTTAGATCACTATCCTTAGACACGATTTCGTTTTGGGTAAGTAAATCGTACGGTACCTTAAACCTGTGCTTCTGCCCAAACTTTCAACTTTAGAGAACAATTACATAAACCGACAAAAATATAAGATATTGGACATTCGCATTAACAGTGATTTGTCATTCCGCAACACTTGTGGAATAGTGCACGCAGAGCGATGCAGGCCGATGTGTATAGAAAATATGTACTGGCTAAGAGACCAGTCACATTCTCATTTTGACTCGCTAACATAACTATAAGAACGACAGTATTCGGGGTGGAAAAAATATTTTTCATATTGACCTGCCAACGTACCAACTTGAACGACAGTATTTGGTCTGGAAATGAAATCATTTGACCTTCCTTTCCGATTGCGAGCATCTATGTACATATCTAGGACTGACCTTCACCTTTTTTTGATTAAATTTTGTTTATATCTTCTGTGTACCACCCAAAATTTATATCTGCAGATGTTGGCGATCAGCACGTTCTGCACTTCCTCCGCTGACATAAGATCAATAGATTGCTGCAAAATTCTAAATGTTTCCCAAAATACCAACTATCTCACAGTACGAGACACACTATTTGCCTATACAGAAATCGGCGAACAGCACGTCTAGCACTTCCTCCACAGACACGCGCCCAGTAATTCGGCCCAGATGCCGTATAGCCAGCCGCAACTCCTCACCAGCGATGGCTACATCGCCAGAGCCTGTCATGATTCCAAACAAAATATGTCAGCAAAGTTGATTTGAGATGTATGGATCGTATCTTGCTATCTATTGTATCTAGCTTGAGCAATGTCAGATCTAATAGGTGATAAGAAAACAGGATAAACCAGTTCTCGGTAGAGACAAAGGATGATTTACAACGCCCAAAGGGTTAGGTTAGGATAGAAGGTTGCATGAGGTGAACAAGGCCGACCGTATAAAAAAACATCTTGAAACAGTCTAAAGGCTAAAATAACCCTGGACGAGGGGGATTGGAACTAAATAGTATATGTGAAACAGCATGTACAGGCGTGTTGTGCACACCGCAAATGCAGACTTCTTTGATACCAAATTGCCCGGTATCCAAAATAGATAAAGCAGAACATGGCAGCGCGGAACAAGCCCAAATAACATTTCAAAAATTGGAAAATTCTGCGTTGATGCCTTCGCGTTTTCAACTGCATGTCCAATACGCGAACGAATTGAAAAATAACAGCGCAATCTGTTGTATCCTCAGGCGTTGTTCACGGTCTCAAATACATACTTGCAACAAATTAGCCATCACTGACAAGCCTACGGACTGAAATCTGGGCATAGCAAAAAGAGACCAGAGATACTCTGACCTCCACAAGCAGAAATGAACTTCAAACGTTGACGATCGATTTCTACCTACCACTGAATCGTTCCAAAGCGGAGACGCACTGCATAAGGGCTTCCCGATGTCTATTCTGCGTGATCATCAACGAGCCAGTCACAGCCGATTCACAGCTTCGCGGAGTCGGAGTCGGAATAAAATGATGCCCGGTGTTAGAATACTGCACACTTGTAGCGATACTTATGAATGCTCTTTAAACGTATGTAAAATGACACGCACATTTGGAGAGTTGTTCTCAAAGAATAGGTAACGAACTATATCAATTGCTTTCCTGTGCGCAGTATGGTATAAATCATAAGGGAGGGTGAGGGCGCAGAATACGTTGGACCCTGGCATATACATATAAAAAAACTCTCTTCCGCAATCCCATACTGGCTATCAAATCACCGAAAGAGAATAAACGAGCAGAAGCAATGCACCACTGAAAAAACCCCGTATATTGAACAAGTTGTGAAAAACTTGGGTTGACAAAAGGGATTAATCATGGATGTACCTTTCTTTTACAGCCTCGCAGAGACTATCGAGCAGCTGAGATATATCAGCGCCATCCGTACGGCACGACGTGAAACTGATAGGCGCCGTCGTACCAAACTGCTTCTGCAGCGCAGCGACTGCTGCGGATCGATCATCGGTTGACATTAGATCTGTCTGTGAATAAGAAAATAGAGTTCTATCTACGAAATTTTGACCATAGTAAAATTATTAGCATGGGTAAGTATAAAGCATCATATTATAGATTCTACTCAGCTAAAGTCAACAAGATTCCTTGGATCTGTGTCGTGTGGTGTAGCGTTTGAGGTGAAACATTTGGCGTAGTGTCTTGCTGTATGCGTCGTGCCGTCAGATGTTAGTGCATTAAGGTTCGAGCGTGCTGTGGTGTGGTGTGTTGTGATGTGGTGAGGGATGCGAACGTTGCGGTGCATTGTAGCTATAGTATGGCTGTAAGGATACATCTCGCACTCACAAACACCTACCTTATTCACCACAAGGATTGTGCTGAAACGCCCATCTTCACCATAGCCATCCGTGTGCTGCTTTTCCAGTGACTCCAATGCCAATTGACTGTGGGTGTGGTTGGAATTCAGTTCGGTACCATCCAGCACACATACACGAATGTCACACGAACCTATCCTCTGTATACTACGCCGCACTCCTTCGGCCTCGATCTGATCCGTGGTCTCTCGGATACCTGTGCGCCGTAGGTAAAGGATCGTATTTTGGTTGAGAGAGAGTGATGGGGGTTCTGAGCGGTATGTGAATAAATGGAAGGATGTAGGTCGGAACTTGTTGTGGGCTGAAGAAATATGCATCTGCGTCAAGTGGACCCTGTAAGGCAGTTAAATGATGTATTAGACCAGATGAAAAGAATGATACTGTAGTTTGACTGCAGGGAACATGTATTGACGTTGTTAAAGGATAGACACTCAGCGGATACTTGGTTACGTCGTAAGCAAGTAATAGAGTTCGATACGCGAGGACCCAGATATTAACTGAGAACCAGCTACCCTGACGGGCATGTATGTCGATACATATAAGAACTACAACTAAATCTGAGGACCGATTTATTTGTAATCCCGCGCTAAAAGGATTGACTATGCTAGAATACTATTCTACTGCCGAGACAAACATACGCTGAGAGTTTGACACTTATACACAGCCACAAGCATCTCAATAACACTTGAAATGTTCTCATACCAGCAGTATCAGCCAGTACGACCGGAAAACCATCCAAATCTAACAGCGTTTCCACCACATCTCGCGTAGTCCCAGGTATAGGCGATACAATCGAAGCAGCCCTACGCGTGAGTGCGTTGAGAAGAGAACTTTTGCCAGCGTTTGGCGGACCTACTATAGCCACGCGCACCCCGTCACGTGTGCGCTCGCCTCGTTTTCTGTATTCGCGGTACAATATCGATGTGTTGGTATCAGGATGCGAATGCACAGAATGAAATCTGATCAATAGTACCGAAGTTTTTTACGTGTTGCGGTTCTCGATACACCAAGTCACGAGTATGGCGCTACGACACCTAAGTAATATTATATTGAGTTTTCGCAAGATAAAACACCATGAAAAAAGGTATCGCATGTGTTGGTGACTTCTTGGACGGAAGTATTCTACCGGGAGCGTGCTCAGAACGAAAACATCAATACAAAGCCCACAAAACGTAAAACCTGATAGCTTATATGCAGCAGTTCAACTTTCAATCATCAGCACAAACTCACTGATATACAAATAACTCGGTATTACCCAGAATCACACAAAAAAATTTATTAGATATTGAAACATGTCAACTTATAGTTAGAGGGACCTCCTATTCAATTAAGACATGACATGGTTCTAAATTTCACAAACGACGCACAGCGTAATATATTTGATACTACATTATATAGATGTGTGCTCTAATTTATATTGTACTATCATGACATCAAATCAACTTTTATAAACAATCGTAAATTAAATACAATTAGCGGTACACAAAGCAGCATATATACACATATTTACCAGGTCAGTACGATCTCATCCATCTAACGATTCTCAAGAAGACATTGTTCTGCTAGTGCCCACTAAAAGACTCATGCCGCATCTAAACGAGAACCAAGACTTACCCAATACTCAGGTGTGTATTGATATCTCGAATCAAATCATTCACGTGTATCTTTTCCTGCTCAAACACTTCGCTCTCGATGAGATCATCTTCCCCAAAATCAATGTACGCCTCTACCGCTGCCAGACTGTGCGTCATGCGCTCAATCAAACCATCGCACACCCGTCGCATTTCGCCCTTTTGCGCAAGATATATAAATACATGAAGAGGGTGTGGTGTGTTTGTTACTTCATTGGGGGCATGCACGTCCATATTGAAATCAGAGAGACATATGTAGTTGTGTGAAATTCTGAACTCGGGTTTATTTTGTTAACTAACGTATCACTAAAGTATATGCAAGATACGTGAGGGCGGGTGGGTTGTGGGTGTTGTGAATGGCCAGACACATGCACTTGCTGATATTAAAACAAAAAGTTGCTCCCCTGCACTTACCATCCTAGACTTAAGCACTGAATGACTACTTCTAATTAAGCTGCATTCAGCTGCATGTTAAACAAGTCATGTCGGCATGTGTGAGTGCAATACTTTCTGTGTGTATGTGTACTTGTGCGAACATGTGTTCACGCGTAAATGTGTACATGTGCGTGTGATCGAGACAAGTCACGCGTGCAAGTCTGTCAGGGGATCAGGATCCACCAAAGTATAGTAGGAACCAATCGTGCTTTATCCATTATTTATGTTGTATTCTATGAATGAGCATTGTTTTCCCACTACAATCGAATATTCTGATTACAAATGATATGTGAAGTAAACTTGTCTAATCAACCTATCACCTCAAACATTCCTGTCAATGCGCGAGAGGATAAGTTAGGCATACTTTCAGCCTAAAAACTCTAAACCCCTCACGGACGTGCAAACAAAAGCAATCATGCACATGCACACATGCATTGGAACGTGCTCTTATTTAACATTACGAGAGTCTACACGACCGCTAGAACTCGATAAGGCTCATAGCGTGCAATACAAACTTATTCGCTAATCATATCAAACATCGACCATTGTTTGCATGGGTTTTAGCAAATCCAAAATTGAGTTATCATTTTGGCCTGAACGCACGGCTAAGAAGGGGCCAGATACGCGGAATCGTATTCGGTAATAAATGAGATTCACACATACACATGTGTACATACCCCCATTTGGCGCAACGCCAGCTTCTTCTGCGCCGAAGTATCAGCATTGATCAGATCGGCTAGCCCTTCGATCTCGGTGGCGTCTAGTTTGCCATTATGGAACGCTCTGTTATTTGTATGAGTTTATTGTGCAAACTAATAAGCAACCTGTGTGCTTTGAGATGTTGTCAAGGCTCATATTGCAATGGGTATACTTGTGCCGCCACTACCGACTCGAGAACGGAATGTATTTCTATAATACTCTAAACGTGAGTCGAAGACACCTGGGGCATACACTGTACAGATCGTCGTCAATGAGGGAAATCACAGTACTTTAAACTTTTTTATCGCATTGCATCCATTGTCTACCCCTCGATGGCGTGTTTCGCGTTGTAACTACTGTGGTGTATACAATGTGGTGTATGCAGCATCTCGGTGTAATCAGTAATGCTAGTGAATGCGATAGAAGTAAAGTGACAATCAAGCCAGAGGCAACGGTATGCACCAATGGGCACATGTGAATGTACTCTATACGTGGAAGTACGCTGTCCAGCTATTACAGTTAAGGACCACACAGCAACCAAAGAAAGGGTAAGACAGTTGAACTATATCAGTGATACTTTGCAAAAAGAAGGCTTCACGACAATGAATTTCATAACGGATAACTCGAATGAAACGGTTACGAGCGTACACGGTATACTATATTAAAGTACTACCACACCTTTTAGAGAAGTCCCCGGGTTCAGCCGAGGAAAGACCTAGGTCAGACAGGGCAGCCAGCACACCCGCGATTACGGCGCGTCCCCCGTGCACATGCAATTCAGCAACGTCCTCGCCCGTGAAACTATTGGGACCTGAGGCGTGAACCAGGTTTATATATATTTTTAAAGCCTTTCAAAGAGTGTGGCTCGTAAAGTCATATGAGTGCCGTAGTATTTGAAAGACGGATCTAAGCTGGCCGGTGGTTTCGCTAGTGTGTGGTGTCATGGATCGCTACCCTTTATAATATTGAGTCGGACATGTGAATATACGAACAGAAACAACGAGTTGGGCAACAAAGATGTAATCACGAGAAAAACATTTCGCATCTCAAGGGGGGAATATTTCTGAATAAGCCTAGTTAGCACGCGCAGTGATCTCACACAGGAAGCTCGTATCAGATTCTTAGTACAAATACCTAAGTACCAGTTCTCAACAAGCCCTGGTAGAGAAGATAACATAGATTCATAGTCACATATCTTGGAGCAATACGATGACAGCTGAACACTCTATAAGAAAGCCTGTAAGCGTCTGCACGTACCTTGAAACCATAGAATAAGAGCTGAATCCAAGACTTCCGCTGTTTCTGGATGTAAAAGCTTCCTGAGCGCAGCATATCTAGGCGCCGGTCTCTTTCTTCTAGTTAAGGCCTCTACGGCATCTCCCGCAAATGGCCCAGACAATCTAATTATAGACACGCCTGATTTACCAGGAGCAGATGACAGGGCAAACACTGTACTAGCTTGTCTGTGTTGATCAGTCTGCGTATATTTATCGACATGTCCACCTGCGCTATGGAGCGTACTTGCACTCCGATGTGTATTTATACCTGACATTCTGGATTGTGTGTATGTATACATTGCTGTTCTCTGCCGTGTATGTGTGCTGATATGTCTATGCGGCCAAATGCAACCACTCGAATCAACTACATTGTGTACGTGTATTGTTTGAACCTGGTTGCGTATTCGTACAGCTTGCCGATTATGACCATACTTGCAGTGTATATTCGATGTAGATCTGATATGTTGCGAACTCGAGGGTTGTCTAATGTACCCTGTGAGTGTATTAAAAGTACGTTGCTGTGGAGCTATACAATATAGTACACTACCTTGAGCAGTTGCTCGACTCATGCATTTGCTCATGACTTCTGTTGACTGTGCACGCGTTGTTTGAATGTGCCTCAGGAAACGATCTGAGATGCCGCAGTCTTGGAATAACTTTGGATGTATAATTAGTTTACTGTGCAATATTCTGAGTCTATTGTGCGAACTAATCGATACTCATTGCTTTTTAATAGAGATCGGCAACCAGTAAAAAATGTATAGCATTGACTAGTATGCAGTAATAGCAGTTGTTCAATAGCAATCAGTTCACTGTGCTTCGTAGATCGGAGTTCTGATCGAGTGCTTCAAAGTAAGAGCCAACCCAAATCGCACTCTGTTGTTCTCACCATTTGACGACAGGGCTATGCTGTCATCGACCTGCGTTGAATTAAATACTACGACTCGTTCACTTTGTACGTTAAATGATACTCGCATACTACAGCATTTATTTTAGACAAATGTGCCATCCTGTGTTCAACCCATAAACCCAACAGAAACCCAACAACAGGTACCCACCTCCAAACCCAATAACTCCAGCCTAACAGAAACCTAACCCTACACCCTGGGGCCTGGTTTTCTGGTGAGCGTTGAGCAAGCACTCAAGAAGTGTTCTCTAGAAGAGCAGTATCTCGCTCTAAAAATATTTTGGGTTCAGCATGTTTTACTTTTTTCATGACCTTCTGGCTTCTGCTCTACTAGAGAGAGAAGAAAAATGAAATACACAGAACGGGAACTAACGTCCGAAGGACGTAGACAAAAAAAACTACGGAAAGTCACTGTGGTTTACATAATTGTATATCAGGCTTCCAGTACTCCTGCCCAGGCCACCGCTTGAGTTCTCGAACTACATAATATCACGGCGGCTGCATATCAAACAACAGGGCAACAGTTGTCATATAGAATTATAACCCCAGAATCAACCGAACTGACCTCACTAACAGTGAGGAATCTACTAGAACCAAACTTGCCAATTCCGAACTGGACAAGGAGGGCACCACTCGCATGAAGGCATCGATACAGGCTATCAAACTAAAGTACACGGCCAAAGACAGGGGGATTTGTATCAAAGAGATGAACTGAGAGAAAAAGAACAGATTGTAATAGCCGGGCCTCCACATTAGACTCTAAGTTATAAACGTACTCTTAAGCCGTACGCAAACTATAAACGTACTCTTATTAGCACGAGGAACTTGAGTTTCCTAAATGGTTTTTAACGGTTTTCTGTTTGGATGAAGGCCTTTAAAAGGCCTGATTAAAATGCCAAAGATAGGATTTGAAATAGTTTTATTAATAGAACTATATTTTATTCCAAATCTATTTATATCTGAATACTTCGGTAGCGAGATGGCTCAACCGAATATAGGTTTCTAGGGACTATTTGCGTTACCTAGTTTAACCTCCGATCAGCCAACCAGATGTGCCAGTCTGATGGAGGCTAAGTCGGTAATTCTTAATAAGTGGAAAGTTATTGGTTAAAATAATAACAAAAGACATCAAGAGTATTTTCTTTTTCTTTTTACTATTTTTTTCTAAAGATAGGATTTTATGAGTCTCTCGGATTCGCCCCAACGAAACATACCATAGTTTCTAATAGAGCGACAACGAAACACTAAATAAAATCCCTTCGGCGGAAACAGTACTGAGAGAATTATATATAGGCAATGTCTCAGCCTCACAATCCCTCAGAGTATTGCTGTTTTCACGAGGCAAACATAACTTTACCAAAAGACTCATTTCGTTTATTAACTTCGAATTCCACGATACTTAGACAACCTAAGCGTTTAATTACTCTAAGGCGTTAATATCGCCTTGATAGACCGAATCTTGCACATTTTAAAGTCAGCAAAGGTATTAATTACTTAGGCTACTTAAACGTAAAGGTGGGACACTACCACTAAAATTTTCTGGTCCAAGCTAGTCCTTAAGAGACCAGCTAGCAGTCATAAGTTAAGATTATGGCCAACAAAGACAATACTCCTGCTAAGAAGCGTAGAGCTGAAAAGAATGGGGTGGAGAGAGACGCCGCTGCTGCAGCCGCATTTAACGCGATCGCAGAAGAGGACAATTAATCTGTAACCGAAATCATTGCTACTAGTATTAATAACCAGAACAATACAGCAGATAAGGGTGAAGACACTCCATTTAGAGAGAAGTCCCCTGAAGAAAGAGCCCGTGGGCCAACTATTGCGTCTGCTTCGAAGCTTACGTTAGCGAAGCCAAGAAGCAACGCAAAATGATCTGTTAAGACGATCCCTACTAATCCTGATGAAAACACTCAGAAGGATCTAACTCCAATTATGGAGAAAGGAGAAAACCCGCTTAAGGGAGAGGATGAGAAGGAAAGCTCAGAGAGTCGACCCAAATCAGAATCCAACCAGCCATCGCACATAAGTAAGTTGATCGTTGAGAACACTGAACTTAAGAATCAGTTAGCCGCTCTTAAGAAGCGAATGACCTCTACAGCAGGAGAAGTTGGTTGTTAAGAAACCGCGGGAGCAGACCGATCAAGGGTATGTATACAGGCAGACCTCAAACGAGAGACCCCAACATACGCGTCCACGTGAATCTACTCAATTTACACGCCCTGTTAAGAAGGTGCGTGCGGATCTCAAGGAACCTAGCATACAAGAAAGTTAAGAAATGTGCTGATGAGAAATGTGGTTATAGTATGTACCAGTTAACACCTAACGGTTACTGGAACGGAAAGTATGCCTAAACTTGTAAACAATATCTGACAAAATGCGATAAATGTGAGAAGACCAATGGCTACCACACTAAATCGTAATAAACATCTTTGTCGACTCACTTGATCCAAGCTTCAACAGGGAATTTACTGACCACTTCTTCCCATCGATCTTCCCCGAACTACTACAACGGCTATGAGAGTCATACCATATGTACAAACATTGTATCTTAACTGCTTTGAAGAAGATGTAGAAATACGGCCT